ATCAGTTGTAGAACATCATAAACGAGAGATTCAGTTGAGTCTTCCGTGAAAACCAAATTGATTTGCAAATGAGTGTGTTTGCCGCAATCAGTTCAATTTGGGTTCAAGTAGAACATAAGGTTGATGGACACTCGGGGACTGCGCCTACCTGATGTGCGAAATCGGTCGTGGGATCTCGAGGAGTTTTCAGCAACCTTGTGAGTAGTTTTGTTTATGAAAACTACAGAATATTTTTCGGCGTGGTCAGGAGTGATTCAGTTTTATGAGGAATGAAGTGGGCCTGCGAATGCGTCATCTAGAAAATTTGCTTTGTCTCTTGCGGATCTTCGAAGTGGAATCTGCTGGATTTAATAATGTCAATTCCCTGAAACCTGAATTCACATATCATCAGTCAGTTTTAAAAAAGAAAGTTTGTGGCGTACAGCACTGCCTGAAGCACCTTCGGTCTCACCTCCGAGGTTGAATCTTTGTGGTTCTGACTATTAATGCACCAGGTTCTAAATGAACCCTACACTTTTACACGTTCTAAGATTGCTGTTTTGTCCATCGTCTGATATCATGTTCCACGAATAACTGAAATTTGGACAACGGTTATGCTCTTCATCACTTGGTACTCGACAGGCTACTGGTTCACTCACAGTGGCACAGGACTAGAGATTCATCGAGGACGAAAGTTTACTGTTATTGGTACTTGGTCAGGTGACCTGACCGCCGAGTTGAGCAAATAACTTGCAAATGTTTTGTTACCAAACGAAGTCATCAGTGCTTGATTGCACATAAAACCCGAGCTGCCAACGAAATGAGGGAAACCTTTCGCCGCGGATTAGTTTATTAGCAAAAACCAAGTAAACAGTTACAAGCTATTAGACAGGAAAGTAAACCTGTCATATACACCTTATTTCTGAAAACTGAACGTCCTCACGCGTATTCTTTAACTTTCGTAGATATTCGCTGACTATCACGTAATTATAAACGAACGCTGTAAAACAGTTCCACAAGTTCCGTGATAAACCCATCTTCCATTTGACGCGAGGCGGAGTTACTGGAAGACCACATACTACTCACATGCATCACCAGTAGTATCCGCCCTTACATTAATATTTCAAAGTCAGTCCTATTTGGCAGGAATACATTTAGGGGGAAAAGTTCTCTGTCTTTTTCCGAATCTGCTTTAAACAATCGATATGACTCAGTGTTGCCTGTGAGTAGGAGAACTTCGGAAACTGGTTACTGAATACAGAAGTAGATGACAAACGCTCTTCAGCAACTTTAAAACATGATACTGTCAGTTCGGTTTTCTTTATCACAACCAATACAATCAACTATACATTCCCAAGATTCACTACATATTAGCTAGGTATCACCATCTTGGCCAACAACGCACTGATCAAGTGTCAACCCTCCATATGCGGGTCATCCACACGCTAACGATTTTTGAGTCCATAAATTGTCTAATCCACGAATTACAACATTTTTATTGCACGAAAATGATGTTGCCTTTTTCTACTTTGTCCTCCTTCCGTACATTAGGGAACAAAATGTGGAATACGAACGAATGTTCAACACCATGTGGTTGATTGCTGTCACCTTTCTCAGTATCGGGTACGGTGATATGGTCCCGCATACCTACTGTGGACGGTCAATATCTGTGATTGCCGGAGTGATGGTAAGTCGGTAAATTGCCAGTAAATGGACTAATCTAATCGAAGTACGTTGTCTTTATTGAATCTCTCGAATGGTGTAATTTTATCGAGCCTGTTCAATCAAAATGATAGCCTGTTTGCATCAGATGCGTGATAAATTAGCCAAGAGCTCAAGCAGAAAAATTTCAAAAGTTGGTGAGTAATTTCTAGGCTCCAAAATCACTTTGATTTTGCCTGAGAATGTATATGCAACGGGTACTTACATTGAAGAATGTGTCCAGAACCAGAAACTGCGTTGTTTGGGACATGTGTTACGTATGACGAACCATCGTTTGCCGAAGAGAGTGCTATTTTCCATGTCCAACTCAGAGTGGTGCAAGCAGGGAGAGACTATCGTCACCGTGAACTCGTCAAATCCTAGTTCTGTTTTCAAGAGTTTACTTAGTCCTCAAGAAACTTGCTCAACTCGCTCTAGTCTACATCTTTCCAAATGCACATCATGCTCTAGTCAATTATTGGAAAACACTCGCACGAAAAAAGCGCATCGCTCAAGAGTAAACACAATCACCTCTTCAAATGTCTCGATTCGGTTGCGTCCGGCGTGCATTGGTGAAGTAGTGATCACGTGCTTGTCTTAGATTTCCAGAGTTCGAATCCCGGTTCGATCAAACACTGCAGATGAGTCAGACAAGGGCGAAACTCGAATCCCGTGCATTTTCTCGCGCTGAAGGTGCTGAATCATTTGGGAAATCGTTACTTGGTTTTAAAATTTATACTGTAGTGGCAGTTTTTGTTTGTGGAATTCAGGGCGAACCAAACATTGTGTACTCTTACTATCCATCCCGTTTGTGAATTCAAACCGTACGACAGATGTCCAAAACCTCAGAATAGAATAACTCTTCGTATCTGGCAGTGGTGATCTCTTGTGACCTTTCATTCCCTAACCAGATTTGATTGAATAAATGATGAAATTTATCTGAATTCCGTAAATACAATCTCATCATATAGCACATTACTTCGCTACTTCGGCAAGACACTTCTGAGGGGACAAGGCCTGCACAGTGTGAGGTTGTTCACTCTAAACACGTGAGCTTGCGTTTTTTCAATGAGCTGTCGAAACACTGGGCACGGACGTGTCTACGATCCCATTTTTGTACATTACAGTTCAACCATTCATTTCAGAAAGTGTTTTATCGGGGGTGGCCGTCTGCGGGTTACGCCTGCACTGGGCCTGCCAGACTACGCGATAAGGAGAAGACAGAGAACTCTGAACACGACTGTAACGTCAGGACAAAACATGCAGAGTTTTGCGTAATCATATAGGATGACTAAATGGCCAAATAGGGTCGTTTGCTCGTTCGTACAGCCAA